ACTCAGTAATAACAGAATACACATTCTTTTCACATGCACAGCAAGCATTTACTAAAGTGGATTACATTTAGATGTAAAATGATTTTCAAAAATTAAAAAAATTAATCTGTTTAAGGTCTTCTCTCTGATCACAATGGAATTAAATTTAACAAAAAGTATCAGGTAAATCTTTATGTGGAAAATAATATGTTTTAAGTAACACATGGCTAAAAGAAGAAATCAAAGGGTAACTAGAAAGTATTTTGAACTGATTAAAACCAAAAAGTCAACATACCAAAATATATGCAACCCATCTGAAGTAGCACTTGAAAGGGGAAAGCGCCTAAGAGCTTCTTATTAGAAAAAGTGAATTGTTGCACATTCATATCTTTAAGTTTCCATTTTTTGAAACATTAATAAGAGGAGAGAGTTTCAAAGTAAACCCAAAGTAGGTAGATGAAAGGAAATAATATATGGTCAAAAATTAATGAAACAAATAAAATAGAGAAAATGAAATCAATCATCTATTCTTTCAGTTTTTATTTTTTATTAATACCTGTTTGCATTACCTAATGATTATATTCTTTGTGGACTCTCTTTCTTTGTTGTTTGTCTTGTTGAGATGGAGTCTTGTGTATTCTAGGTTGGCCTTCAACTCACTATGTAGCCCAGGCTATTTCTTTTTTTTTTTGGTTTTTCTCCGGTACCAGGAATTGAACTCACGACCTTGCGCTTGCGAGGCAGGCGCTTTTGCCGCTGAGCTAAACCCCCAGCCCCTAGCCCAGGCTATTTCTGAACTCATGGCATTCTCCTGTCTCAGCCTCTTGAGTGATGAGATTACAGGTATGTGCCATCAATCACACATTCTAATGGTTAAAATTAAAGACTAATAGTACAAAATATTGGCGAAAATGTGGTGGGGCCCCAATTCTCATATATTACTTGTGGTAGTGCAAAATTGTATAAGGATTTGGGAAGACACTGTGGCTGACATATGATTAGCCTTGGGTAGTAGAGGGATGGATTAAAAAGAAAATGGAAGCATCTCTGAGGTGGTGAATATGCTCATTCTCAATTGTGGTTTCACAGGTATATACATGTGCTAAAACTCATCACACTGGATACTTTAAATATGTATAACTTAATGTCTTACAATTATATCTCTAAAATTATTTCAAACATATGTGTTCAGGGGTTGAGCTTTAATAAAAACAACTAATTTTATTGCTTCATTAATGAATTCTTAAATGAGACTGAGTCTTTTTCTTTTTTTCTGTGTGCATGGCAGTGTGTATAATGACTACAAGTATAGTTTTAATATTAAATTTTGTGTCCCATCTTGATAAGTGCTAGTTTTACCCACCTTTGCTTTAGTGCAAAGTCAATGCAGTAAAAAAGTAAAATTAAATTAACTTGGAGATATCCAAAAAGTGCTAGGGGATCTCAGAGGGTTCACGGCCACACTTGAGAACTGCTATTTTTGTTTTAGTCCAGCGGTTTCACTTTAAAGGTGGGACTAGGTATATACTCCATGGGGATCCTTTTTGGAGATTGGGGCTGTGATCCTGTAAATCCCAGTATATATTCTATACAGTGCTGAAGATGATAACCACTCTTCTTGTGAACAGTGTTATCACTGGGTATAAAGCTGATTTTTTTCCATAATAAGAAAATAGGACCTGAAACTTTAATGAAAATGTAAAAGCCAGGGGTCATCTTCCATAGAGAGAGTTTGAAGAAAGGAAAAGTTGCAGTAGGGCAAAAAACGCAAGGGATATAAAGGATTTCTAAAAGTTTCTGGAATGAAGGAGGGAACAGAATGGGTGAAGGGAAATGGAAGCAGATGTTTACTGTATAAGACACAAGAAATGTGAAGGTGGGGGTACGTATAGTTGGGTTGGACTTATAGATTGGTGGAAAGTTGTCAGAAAAGCCCATGAGAGTAAAAAACAATGAAACCAGAATCACTTAGCACATGCAGTGGTTTAGATTTATAGGAGATCCAGGGTATGGTTACATTCATGGTGGATATAGAGATGTACCATTCAGATCTCCCTTCAGGGAAGGGCTGCTCCAGTTGTTGGCATGGTGCTGGCTGAAGCTTTCCTGGGAGAACCGTGCTGCCCACTGAGGTGGGGATACCAAGCCCAGCCATTCTGGTCCATCACAGGATAACACTGACAGTCCAGTTCAGCTCTGTGCTCCCTATGGGGCTCAGTGAGGCTGTGGGGCTCACTTCTCTGGAACTTCTCTCCTGTCTGGTCTTGTTCCTCCTTCCTCCCACAGAGCTTCATCCAAAGGCAACTCCCTAAGACACATCCTGCTTGCTAAACTGTCTCAGAGTCAGCTTCCTGTGGATCCCACACTGCAACAGCTTCAAGCTGACCTAAAAGTGACCAAAATCAGAGAACTCTAAGGAACAGAAAATTCTTGTCAAATGATGTGTTAACATTTTAGCTTGATTGTTCTCATATTTCTTATTGTGACCTGTTCATATTTAGCATGATATTATGGCTCATATTTTGTTTCATAAGATGTGCCATTTTCACCTTCTCTTTCTTTTTTTTTTCACCTTCTGTTTCTTTGTTTTTGTTTTTTTTTTGTCTTTTTTTTCTTCTGGTACCGGGAATTGAACTCACGACCTTGTGCTTGCCAGGCAGGCGCTGTGCCGCTGAGGTAAATCCCCGGGCCCACACCTTCTCTTTCTTAAAGAAATCATGTGAAAATATGAAAAGGTAATAGGGGTAAGAAAAATGGCTTCTTTATTACACTCAAGAAACCCACTATTTCAAGGTTGGCTTAGGCAGCAAAAGAAGTGATCCATTGGAACATATGATAATGGTTTTGCGCTGAATATTGAACCAATAGAAAGTTCTGGTTTCTGAAGATTAGAACTGTCCCTGGTTGAAATAAAGAAGCAATTCAATATTATTTCAGCCTGGATATTTAAACTGTCAATCAAAACCCTCAGACATGAACTTCAGGCAAGGAGAAACTCATTCTGTCTTCCCTCGCATCTCCAGAGCGGGTAGAACAGTATATTCCCAAACCAGCTTTCTCTACAAACTCACTGGGTAGCCAGCCTCGGAAGACAGGAGGAGTGGGCCTTCTGGTAGGCTTTATTACCTGCAAACTTGGATCTCCAGGAAATAATTCTGTTTCAGTATCCTTGTTGTAGTTTTTCTGGAAGTTCTGTGTTCCTGAAAGATGATGCAAGACAGACCAAACTCTGACCCTCACTGTGAAAAAAAACAGGATATGAAGTAATTGCCTTGACAATTTAGACCAAACACCTGCACACAAAACTTAATTTTTTTCCTTTCCTTTTGGTGTTGCTGAAGATTGAACTGAGGGCCTTGCACGTAATAAGCAAGGGCTCTACCACTGAACTACAGCTTCAACTCTTTGTTTATTTTAAAAATAGTATTTTCTCGATAACAATGACCTTTGGTGTTACAAAGCACAATCTTTCTGCAGTACTGGTACAGCGCTTGCTCCAGGACCACCCTCCCCATACCAAAATCTTTGAGTGTTAGTCCTTTATATAAAAAAGTCATACCATTTGCACATCCTCCTGCGTACTATAAAACATCTATAGATTCCTTTCCATAACTGATTCAATGCAAATTCTACTTAAATATTTGTTATACTATATAGTGGGAACAATGAGAATAGTGACATAAAAGAGTCTGTACTTGTTCAGTACAGGCATAATTTTTCCCCACCACATATTTTCAATTTGTATTTGGCTGAGTTCCAGGGTACAGAACTCAGGGAAGTAGTGCACCGACTGTAAATAAAGTTTTTTGGCTCTTCTAATTTTGGAAGCATGCATTAGAGCCACTGTAGTACTCTAGATCTCATTATTTCAGATAATTACTTCATACTTCTCAGATTGGGGGTTTGATGTTTGGTCTCTTATCAGGCAAGGCAGATATTTGTGAGAAAAGAGAGAAAAGATAAAGATGTCCTATTATTATAGGCAGTTAAATTATATAGAAATTAGCATACAATCAGAAAGAGACTGGCCTGTCAAGGAAGTCAGCAAAAATAAATAAATAAATAAATAAATAAATAAATAATAAATAAATAAAGACATTGTGGCTGGAGGCACATCTATCTAAGGCCAGGCCTTAAGATAAAGATGGAATGACCAGACCTGCATCCTCTACAAGGGCTAAGCAATAACTTGAAGATTATACTATAATTGATATCACCAGGGCCAAAAAGGTCTAGGAAGACATCAGGTGAGTGACCAGAACCTCTGGACCCATCCCTCCTAAAAATATTTTTGTTCTTTCCATGTACCCTTGCTACCTGACCTGCTTTCCCATTAGCTCAATATTACCTAAGCGACTATTCTTGTAATCTTATTGGTTGATTATAGTTTGACCCACGTCGTACCCACCGGGTGATTTGGTACCTACCTCTTGACTTTACTCTATAGAGTAAAATCTCAGAGAAGTGGGCAAGATGGCAACCCATTCCTGGCTCCCTCCGGTCTCTCCGAGCTATTCCTATTCCCCAGTGAGCTTTTCCTACTCTTAACCTCCATTGTCCTTTGGAATTTATTCCTTGCTTTCAGGGGACACGAACTCAGCATATCTGACATCTAGCGGGTTGGTAATTATATTTTCCCCTAGATCACTGTTATAGAGGAAAGACTTTTCCTGGAAGGTTCCTAGCTTTCTCAAGAGGGTCTTAGTTTCCTCATCTCTCAAAAGGTATTAGTAACTGAAAAATAGGACAGGGCCCTGTGCAGATTATTCACTCAGGGTTGCCTCCCTGTCCAGCTCTTCTTGCAGAGCTGTGGAAAATCACTTCTCAGCCCCCAGCGTCTGATGAGCTCCTTCCTCACCTTTCTATTGCCCGTTAGGGCACTGGAAATCATAAAAGGCTCTTCCATGTCTTCCTCCTTCCCTCCTTCCCGCCCTTCCTCCGTTCCTCCCTCCCTTCCTTCCATCCTCTCCCAGACAAGGAAGTGGCCGTCTTTGTTTCCTGGATCGCAAGCGTGAGTCCCTCGGAGCAGCCGGCCCCCCGGCTCGCCTTGGCCTGGGGGAGGAGGCTGCGGCTGCGGCTGCGGCCTGCGCCGCTTGGCGGAGGCCACGGAGGAGATGGGGAGGCGGGCGCAGCAGACCCAAGGGTGGAGAAGGGGCAAGGCGAGGACGCGCGCTCCCGGGCTCGTGACCGCTGGCGCCCCGGGAGCCGGTGCCCACACAGCCCGGCTCGCAGAGATGGCAGGCGGCGGGGACCTGCGCGTCGCGGGCACCCTCCACCTGCTGCTCCTGCTGGCCGCGGGCTTGAGTCGGGGTGCCGCTTCCTGGACGGAGGAGAAGGTGAGGGCTGCTTCTGCGTCCTGCCCCTCGCGCGGGGACCCCCGGCATGCGGGACCCCACCTGGGCGGAGCGGGAGGCGGCGGCGCTGCGGCCGCTGCCCAGGGC